TTTTTTTTTGACGGTGGATCCTTGAAAAAATCTGTGATTTCTCCTTATCCGTCTCTGTAAAGAAGGAATAATTAGACAGCGACACTCGTTCTTTCCCAGGGTACCAAATTCATTCCATTGTGGCTTTAAGTTGATCCTCAAAAACCACTATAAAGCTAAAACATCTCAACATGTAGAGTTATATTTTGATTGACGGCTGTTAGGTTAATGCTGGCTGCGGTTGTTTCCGTTTTTAAACCAAAAACGCTTTTTAATTGGAAGTTACGGCACAAGCGCTGTTAAAATGCAAGGTTCCCCATAACGACGCTGTAGAGGAACGGATCGGATACTAATTAAAAGGTTTTTGGTTGTTGCGACAAGTGCTCTGTGCTGGACCTAAACTGAGCGACTTGATAAATACCGATGAGAGCAACAACAGGCTGTGTGATCAGGTGGCGCGTTAAGGGTAAATACGATTCAATCAGGGATGATTTTGATAATAAAGAAAAATTTAACACCAAGTACTTTGAGTAAAAGGAGCCAGCTTAACTTATAACAAGCAAAAAAGAATAAACATGCGTAAAAGACAATAAAAAAGAGAGTGAGGATATCCCAATGGTTGTTTCAAATCAAAAGTTTGGTGCCGATTGTGAATTCCTCGAAATATAAGATGGTTTTTCCACAATTTTATCACTAAACTAGAAAGGAGTAACCTGCTGTTACATTGAAGTCAAAAGTATAAACTTTTCTTTCAAAACTCACAGTGTTACATTAATTTCAACACCTAAATTACTGGCTGAATTAATTACTTTCCTTGTGCAAAAAACCGACTCAAAAAAGTATCATATTAAGCGTAGTCGAGGCGACAGCACAGAAAAGGCAATATAATGCTACAGAAGACCTTCACTGCCCACCGGTAGCGGGAAGCCTCCAAATAACAGAGAGCAATCCGTAAGGACAGCCTCTATAAGCAGCCAATCGAAAGAGCCGGTATCAGAATAAATTGTAATCAGTAAATGGCAATTTACTTTTCATTCAGGCACCAACTAACGAACTAATTTCTAAACCAAGTGGTATACACCGATGGGAAGGATGCCGATTAGCAGAAATATTTATAAAATATTTACAAGACGATTTGTCAGAAGCAGGTAAAGAGTTCATCAAAGAATATGTGAGCCGCAGGATCGATCATTCTTGGTTGTTTTCCCTTAATCGCTTGCCTTATTGCTTCGGCTTCATGATATTCATTTCCATCATGATCGATCCTGCGTCCCACATATTCTTTGATGAACGCGTTATCTGCTTCTGGCATATCGTCCTGTATATATTTTACAAATATTTCTTCCAATCGGCATCCTTCCCATCGATGTATACCATTTGTTTTAGGAACTAGTTCGTTGGCTGGTGCCTGAATGAAAAGTAAAGCGCCATTTTCTAAAGTAATTCTTGCGAGAACTTCCTCGACTATTCCTTGCACTGCAAGATTAGTCGGAGCACTAATCAAAATTATCCTTTCATCTACCTTCAGTAGCTTCCTCAAATATATGGATATCGTGAATGTTTCGCCTGTGCCAGCTGGTGCTTGCACTACTAAAACTTCCATAGTAAGATCTACCAGCGAAGTAAGTACCTGAGCTTGTTCTGCTGTCAGAGTTACGTCTTGGCCTTGCATTCTAATGGTAATATCTTCCGTTTCTGTTTCTCGCTCCGAAACCTGTTGCAGTAATAAGCCTTCCATTACTTGAGATTCCTCTGTTGAACGCATTCACTTTTCTAAAATACTCTTCCTTATGAGGTGCCGTTAATCCTGGAATGCTCTTTCTACTCTTTTTCCTAAGAAGTTTCTTTCGATATTTTCGTATCCTGTTGAACTCATTATAATGCCTTTAACACCCCTATGCTGCATTAATGCTGGAGCTTTGTTAGGTGCTACATTAACTTAATCAACATTCATTTCTCCCTCTAACTGGCGTGGTTCTTCAAGTGCCATTTTTATGTAGAAGTTGTTAAATTTTCTGGCTTTGATTAACGTAACTGTAATCAAGGTTTAGACTTAGAAAGCTATAATTCCAAAAATCTTTGCTGAAGGAATTGGAAGGTAGGGGAATACGTTTGCTTGGTTGAGAATGTTTATATTTATTCCAGTTGTATGCAGTTTAAAGAAGGGGACTATTGGTGTTGTTGAGAGAAGGTTATTGGATTCTGAAAAAAAAAATTGATTCTGTGTGGTCTCAGTTGTTGACAGTTATGTAGCAACCAATTTAGAAGTTCACTGTTGTAAGTGAATTAGCTGAAAGAAATGCTGCCGGTCGTTTAATATAATATTTTTTTGATTTAGGGTATTTACAAGCAGCTAAATAGAATTTTGTAGTCATCATAGCAGTAAAGTGACAGCTGATTCTGGACATTCGTAAAGCTCAACAATTTGTTACAAGTTACATTCCTATTGTTTATCTCGGAGTTATGCCGTACTGTGAAGGTAAATCT